CATCTCTTGGGTACTATTAAAAAAAAATAAAAATAAAGCAGAATAAAAAATACTCTGTATATGGCGTTCTTGAAAAAAAACACGAATTTAATTTAATCTACATACCTGTTTACACATTGTTTTTACTATGTTTGTGGAAATAAACGAATAAATGAAACCGTTAGCTCAAATTTTACAAATCAGTGTTTACTCAAATAAAAATAAAACAATAAAACTTGCTGTCACCGACCTATAACGTTATCTGAAAAATTTTTTAATCCTTCATTTAAAGTCTTAAAAACTAAATTGTCTTGAAAATATGCATATGTTCGTGTTTCATTAGGGGCATTCGTATGTAAACTACATTTTATAACACTTTTAAAAATTTATATACTTTATACTTTATTGTAACTTGTAGTATAAATAATTACTCTTACCCTCTATTACGTTACTAAGGGAGCCTTGAAAGAAATATCCATCCATTGATTTATCTAAATTAATGCATACCTTTACAACCTTTTCTCGGAAATTCCAAAATATTATAGTTTGTTTCCTAATTTTTAAATTGTCGATGAGTGCTTTAAGATTCTGTAACAAAACGGAAACGTTGAAGTACAGCTCACAGTTTTTATAATTGTTACTAATTTTATACCAAAGCTTCCATTTTTAAAAGTGTTAACAGATGTTTTAATTACAACTTTATTTAATATTTTCGTAAATAGAAACCTCAAGAAGCTTCCCTTGATTGATGACTTTTAAAATAGCATCTTTAAAAGTGAAAGAAATGGAAACCGGATAATTATTAAAATTTTAAACCTGTTTTAAGCCTGTTTTACTGAAGAAGTATTAGATATACATCAAAGAAGAAACGTAGGTATTCGCTATGATGTTAATTTGTTTCTGTCCCAGTTTAGCTTTAATTTTTAAAATACTATCTTGAAAAGCAAAAGAAGTGAAAGCTGGGTAATTGTTATTATTTTCGTTAGGTGTCGTCAACGTTTCGTTCACGCGTATGGCCCTCAACTTCTCAACTTACCTTTGCCACAGTTGCATCGATAGATTCCATATTCTTTCCGTCGATAATAATAAATGAAATAGAGGCATCGCACTGTGCTAACACACTTTCTTTGAGAAATTCAGCAGAGGGAAACTGCAAATTCGTCGTGGGCTCCACCAGGTATACATTGATATCTCCTACTAATTTTGTTTCTATTTTAATACTTGGCCTTGCACTTTTGTACAAGATGAAGAAAATATTTACTACAATTCCCACTATTATTCCGTACTCTAAGTTCCATAACAAACTTGTTAATAGAGTCACAAGGAACGGTATAACGTCGGTTTCTAAAACAAGAACGCAATTCTAAAACAACTACTACACAATCTCATTAGGAAAGATTTCCATCCAGTTACCATTACCACATAAAAATTTCGCAGACGTACAAAGTGGAATAACCATCGTAAATTTGTCATGAAAGAAAAAAAATTGTCGCCTTTCTTTTTTAAGCAAGTTGATTGGTGTAGTGAGGCACCTGGTAAGAACAAAGTTTCTTACGCTGTTTGACAAATATGAATTTTTAATTTTTAATTAGTACACCCTGTACGTTTTAAACTGTCTGGTATTTTATTTATGAACCTGTAAAACGTGAATATTTTGAAATACAAATAAGTTAAGCCTCCTTCGACAAATATAGTAACAGCCATTTTTCACATTCTACTTAAATACCTTCGTACATAAAATTTTTACGCAACTATTTTCGAAGATACTTTTATGCAAATTTATTAATTTTCAATACTGTAAGAAAAACCAATTGATAGCAAACGTGGCATTCCAAGCATCTTGCACAGAACCATAACTATATTGTATAATTAGGACAGACGCAAAAATAATTAGGACAAGCTAAAATCTTAATGTTGCTTGTAGTGAGTATTACTCGTACATTGCACTCCGAAACAGTAATTTCTTATTTTCCCACATGATACGAGATTTTATAAGTTTTGTTATAATAAATTTTTTTTTTGGCCCTGATCGGTTCTGATTAATTTTATTCCATTCCTTCGACTGAAAATTGTAAGGGTGTTTATACAACGGATATACCTGAATGCTAAATTTTTAACTAGGAGTGGATGTTTATACTCCGAAATATATGGTAATTAAATCTACTTATTTAAACTAATTTCTCTCTAGCCTCTAGTATAATACCGGTAAATAGCTTCTTAGCCACCGGTATGGTACCGGTGAATAGTCTCATCGGTTTTTTTAATAGGTATATTGGTTTTCACTTCTTTGGCCATTTTAAAAAAATATATATTTTGTAAAACTATGATAAATCCCGCGGCCCGGAAAAATGTACAGTATATAATGCACATATATACAGTTTGTCCCAAGCAAGCAGATTTCTTCAATAACTGCTTTACGTTGAAGATATCAAAAGCTTTGGCTTTGAGCGAAAGTAAAAAGACAAATACACTCGAGATGTCAGAAGAAGATTTCATATCTACTTTTTCACCTTCACTCAAAGTTATAGACTAGGCAGTTCAGAAATAAATTGGTATTATAAAAATGTTTAATTTTCTCAAAAGGTGTTGGACGTAGATAGTAACATCCTTATATTGGACGAAAGAAAATACAATTTTGCACATGATGAGCGGTCAACAAACATGACATTCCTTAAAAAAATAGTTATGCCAGTTCGAAACAATTTATTATGGAAGTGATAGATTTTAATGAATTTGAAAAGAACAAATTTACGTTAATAGTGCAAATAGTAGATCATCTTTTCTACAAGTTATTTATGAAAATAGCACACCTTTGTGTGCTTTCGTTTCGGAAATATTCCAAATGGCGCAAAGCACTGCGACAGCTTATTCATTGATAGACATAATATATGGTTAACGAAGTGGTGATTAATTTAACGAGGAATTCAAAAATGCAATAATAAACGGATCATTCCTTTTGAAAAAATGAAGTTAGGTTACCTCCAGGAAAAATAGGACACTCTGTATAATCTAAATAATTTTAGGATATAAAGACATTTATACGGTACCACTTTTGTAAGAAACATTTTTTGATATCTTCAACTGTAAAGCAATTATTGAGGAAACGCGCTTGCTTAGCACATCCTGTATATAGATAAAGAAAATCACTTCACGTATATAGGAGCGCTTTTCTTAAGTTTGCCTTTTGCAACAATGCCTAATATTAGATGTCACCACTGACAGGTGTAATATTTGAATGAAATTTTCGTTAATGATATACCTGAAATAAAGGCTTTAAAAAACGTAATTGGTTAATTGTAATTTGGTACATTTCGTAAATAAAACTTTTGGTTTTATAGAAAAACGTAATTGTCTCTTTGTTGCATTATCACCAGTCATTCTAGAGTAGAATATAGTATATGAATTTCTTACTTTTACTTCTCCATAGGATCGGAACTGCTTTAAACTCTACCAAGTTCACCATGGCACTGATAACGACAGCAGCTAAAGTAGCTTTTGGTATGTAATAAAAGAAAGAAGTTATAAATCCTAAAGACATAAGAACTAGGCATCCTGTAAAGAAACCAGCAAAGGTCGTTTTTACACCCGACTGATTATTAACAGCAGTTCGAGTGAAAGATCCAGTTATTGGCATGGATCGAACAAAACTACTTGCGATATTACACATGCCAAGAGCAAGCATCTCTTGGGTACCGTCAATTGTTTTACCCTGCGCTAAAATGTAATGAAAATAATTATTAGCTTAAAAATCCATATCATCGATTTTTTCTCCTTCTGGAGATATTGTTTGTTTTATCGGTAACTAGCTTTCATTTCTAAAATAAATCTCAATTAACCAAATAATTTTAAACATTTAATGTAGAGATGGACAATTTACGTGTAAATTACTTGCCCTCCACATATTCAAAGCAAAACATCTTTTAACAGAGTAATGAATGAAAATGTCTTATTAAAAAAAATTTCATTCCAGAAAAAGTAAATAAATCGCTTATTAAATAGGTATTTACCTATTTTATATATGTATATGATTTCCTTCTATATGCTAATGCTATATTGCTTTTTAGCTGACATTTGACGTATAATATTTTTTATAATGGCAATTTAACACAAATTTTGGTAACCCGTAAACATACAATATTTACCTATAAAATTGAAGCAATGAATTTCGTGTTTTTATTTATCTTACCAAATGCTTTAGCAATACTGATATGTTCCAGAATAGAGATCATTGGAATAAATACAATAGAACTGTCGTAATTCGAAATCATTTGAATAAATGAAAAAGTTTCATTATTGTATGTTGTGCCAAAGTTTGGTACTGAAAATCCAGGTAAACCTCTTTCTACATTGCCTGTGAAACATAAGCCATATTTTTTCAACACGTTTTAAACAATAGAAAAATACGTTAACTAAATAGAACCGACTTTTAAATATCTAAGCTTCTTATCCAACAAATAATTTTCCTAATACAAAACATGATAAATGCCGCCGATATAAGTACATGATCACAATAACATTCGCTACGTTCGTGTTGTCTTTTTCCTACCGTAACCTTAGCATATCCTTCAAAGGGAAAGTTGGCTGCTCTATCAAAGTTGGTCGTTCAACGGAGCCAACTTCAGATATGGTGTTAAATAGCACGTTATAGAAACTTCTGAAATTGTAAGCTTAAATGTTAAGTTTGTCTACGATTATTTTTAATCATGGCAGGGCTGCGGGGCTGTCGGGACAATACAATATTTTCCAAAAACCGTTCTTGTTGTCAACAAATTGTGAAAATCTTATCTCGTTCTTTTATACCTACGTAATCTTGGTTTCTATAAGTCTTGCCTCAAGAAATCTTAATCTCGACTTTGAATACCTGAAGTACCAAATTTAGATGGCATAATATTAAAATATAATAAACGCTCCAATAAAATTAATAGTAAATAGGCACATAAATAAATTACTAGTTGTTAAAATATACATCTATTTATACCTACTATACTTGTATATTTTTAAATACATTTTAATTGCACCGTAGTGACTATCTTCTCTTTGCACCGCTGCACTGATAGGGCTATTTCAAAACTGAGATATAATACCGAAGCAAGTAGTTCTGACATGATAATATTTTTCAGCTAATTTATCTTGATATTGTTTTGTATCCCACATGAGTATCTTTTTCTTGACATTGTCTTCGTTACCGATAATAATTCTTGATTCTTGCAACAGCCCTATATATAGTTCAAGTGAAATTGTAAATACGATTTGCAACGACAAAAATTGGCAAATTATCATCGTTTTGATAGTGATACAACCAATTCGACTGTCGTCGCATCTCCAAGACAAGCAACCCCCTGCTAAATCAACGACGACGGATCGACTGCACATGTGCCCGAGCCAACGCATCGCGCTACCGTCGCTGTATCCCCCATGCCGCGTAGGAGTACCGTCGGCCCCTATAAAGATGTTTGGGGATGCAGGAAACGCGACGTCGGATTCTGCGCTCGACCTTCGTTGTACAAACATCACCTGCACCGCACCGATTGGTATCACCGAAACGACCAGAGCTTTCCAGCGAACCAGGCGTTCAACAAAACTGTCCGTTACTGGACAATATATTCAGCCCAGCCGTAATAGGTATGAGTTTTACTTTATTTTATTGTTAATTAACCTACAGTTCTCTGGGACGGAGTACGCAATATCCCTTTGAACTACAACGTACCCTACTAACTAACACAAACAAACCCTTTTAAGCCAATATATTTTCCTCAATTTTATACCTATTTTCCTGATTGTGCGAAGTCACATACCATCCAATTAGCTAGCCATTTTCAACATGGCTACCCCCAAGAGCTCCGCACTCTTGGAGGGATTTTCCCTTGCGGACGCAATTGCCCTGCCCCATCCGTTTACACACCATCGCTGCAGCCCCTACCCCCATGACCGAAGACATGGAGTCTTCATCCGTAGCTCCGCACACCGACGCCAACCAATTTGACCCAACACCAGCCCCTAACGCGACCAAGGTCATTTCCGACAGTGCCGCTACCTGTGTACCGCACACGGACCGCCGAGAGAACGACGGTTTCGTCAAAGCTGGCAAACGCGCTAACAAGCTCCGCCGACAACAGCCTTTTCTGTCTTCATCCGAGTCATCTTCCTCCTCGGACAACGAATCGCACTTAGAACCAAGTCTAAGTCAAAAGTCTCCACCCCCAATCGTCATACAACAGAAGTCCCTTTGGCCGAAAATTCTTCGCGCCATGGACAATCACGGCATCACCGCCCGTAGGTCTGTAAACACCGAAGACTCAATTCGAGTCTACCCTCTATCGACGATTTTCGTCGTCTATCCTCTTTCCTGGACGAATCCAAAGTCCAATTCTCAACTAACCAACTACAACAGGACCGTGACCTCCATGTAGTTATACGCGGTGTCTGCGAAGACATCCCAACAGAGGACATCGAGTCCGAACTAAGCCACAAAAGCTTTATTATCAAAGGCATACATCGTATGTCTAAAGGTAATAAAATCTGGCCCCTTGTCTCCGTCCGTCTTGATAAGACTGCCTCAAATTCCAAGGCAATTTTCGACCATGGTAAACTCTGCGGCCTCAACATCAAAGTTGAGCCGAAAAAAGCAACAAAGCAAGCTCCCCAATGCCGCCGCTGTATGAAGTTTTTCCATACAGCCAACTACTGCCACGCAGACTGGGTCTGCGCATTCTGTGGCCGCAACCACATCACTGCCGAGTGCAAATCCAAGGACAAGAAGGATGATACTCCCACTTGTGCGAATTGCAAAGGGAACCACCGCGCCACCTACCGCGGCTGTCCCAAGGTTCCCAAAAAGACTTCCCCTTCACCCCCCAAGTCACAAAAACTACCGCCCATCCATCGGCCACCCTCCCAAATGTCCTATGCCAAATCAGTAAGAACTGCCCCCCCCGCCCAAAAACGCAACACAAGCACTCCACCAGCTGTAGTTGCAATCCCAAGTTTGGAACAAAGACTTCAAGTCATTGTTCAAACCATGGTCGCCAGCATTGTCACCGCCTTACAACAAACCACCAATGTCTAACACCGCCCAGCCAGACAACCTTCGTATAGTTACCTGGAATGCCCAAAGCATTAGAGGTAAATTGACCGAACTCGAGCACTTCCTCGAGGATAAGTCAATCGGTGTTGCTTGCATCACCGAAGCTCACCTGTCCGAGAAAATCAAACTTTTCGTCCCGAACTACTCATCCTACAGAAGTGACCGTGAAAACCCCAGTGCCGGCGGTGTCGCCATTCTAATTAGGAATTCATTAAAACACAGGCCTATCTCTTTGGCCACAAACTCATTAGAAACAGTAGGCATCGAAGTTTCACTAACTTCCGGCCCTCTTAAGATTATTTTTCTCTACTCTCCCCCTCCGACCATCGTTGCAGGCGACTTCAACGTTAAACACGTCTCTTGGGGCTGTCGACAAACAAATAATAAAGGCAACTCCCTTCTAGCCAAAATTCTTCAGTTCAACCTCACAGTTGAAGCACCATCTGACCCCACATTCCTTCCTGCCCCCACCATCAATCCCCTGACATTCTGGACATTATCGTCACGAAAAATGTCACACTTTCCGCCGATCCTATCGTCATAGACGCATTAAGCTCGGACCACCCACCAGCCCAATCCTCAACCCCCCAAATCGAACCACGTCACTAGATTGGTTGCACCTTCGTTACACCCTTGAAAAATCTTCATTCAAGTGCACTCCAACTCGCACAATAGCGGAACTTGACGAAGTTGTGAATCTCCTGTCAAACGAGATTACCAGCGCAGTCGAGCTCTCCACTACCTCCCGCCCAACGCCCACCAAAGACAGAACCCTCCCAGCAGACATCCTTGACCTCCTTAAGAGGAAAATCAAGGCCCGACGTCTGTGGAATAAACACCGCGTCCCCGCCCAACATGCAGAGGTAAATGCCCTTCAACAAGAACTAAAAACTCGTCTCACCGAATTCCGCAGCGCATCCTTCGACGACTATATCGCTCTGGCAGAAAAACACCCACGAAGCACCTGGAAAGTGATACGTTCCCTTCGTAACAGTGCTCCCCATCTTCCGCCTCTTAAACAGAACGGCTACATCTATTCCTCAAACGAAGAAAAAGCTGCAATCTTCGCAGACTCTTTGTGTCTCCAGTGCTCCCCACTACCAAGCCCAGTGGATCTTGCCGAATTTCACGAACGTACCAAAGCCGTCTCCCAGAACTTCGTTCCCCTTAATTCTGACTTCAAACACACGTCCCCACGAGAAATCTTTCTCATTATCCGTTCTCTAAAAAAGAGAAAAGTCCCTGGCGCTGACGGAATTGCTAACGGAGTCCTTAAAGTCCTGCCACCAAAGCACATAACCGCACTGTGCAACATCACAAACGCCATCATGCGGCTCCACCACTTTCCTTTGGCCTGGAAAGAAGCCGTCACCTGTCACCTGTCTCCCCAAAAAAGGGAAGCCGCTCAGCTCTCTCTCAAGCTACAGGCCCATCCGCCTGCTCAGTTCGCTGAGCAAAGTAGTAGAATCCGTCCTTCTCGTTCGGCTCTTAGACCACGTGGAGCAAAACAACCTTCTTCCTGATTTTCAACACGGTTTCCGCAGTCAACACGGCACCGGACACCAACTTCTTCGTGTTACCGAACACATCTCCGACAACCTCAACAAGCGGCGTCACACTTCCATGCTTCTTCTTGACGTCCAGCACGAAGGTCTTATTTCCAAACTCATCGCCCTTAACATCCCAGACTTTCTAGTTGGGGTTATCAGGTCCTTCCTCACAGACAGAAGCCTTCGGGTCCGCGTTGGCTCTGCTCTTTCTGCCAGTAAACCCGTCACAGCCGGTGTACCACAAGGCTCCAAACTATCCCCAATTCTGTTTAACCTGTTTTGCGCGGACATGCCCTCCCACACTTCAATTCTGACTGCCCTGTACGCTGATGACATTGCTATCATAAACTCTTCAAGTACCATCATCCAATGCACAGCAACAATCAATAGGTTTCTACCCCAGCTCCTAAACTGGTATCGGAAATGGAAACTTTCCATTAACGAGACCAAATTGGAGGCAATTTTCTTTTCCCGTAGGCTCCGAAAACCTCCCTCCATCATTGTCAACAAATGGAGCACCTCTGTCACGTACCTAGGCGTCGTTTTAGACAGATGCCTAAACTGGCGGCCCCACATTAAAGCGACACGCAACAAGGCTCTGGGTGCATTCATCGCACTTAAACCTTTCTTTCGTAACAACACCATCTCCCAACAGACCAAAATCCGTGCGTTTAACGCAATTATCAGGAGCATTTGCTCCTATGCCATTCCCGTCTGGGGCTGCGCCCTTCCCCATCGCCTAAAACCTTTACAAGGTACATACATGCGGATTCTTCGCTCCGCACTTAACTACCCGTGGTTCGTCAGAAACACCCAAATTCTGATTGAAACNATAGACTACAGACCGGAGTCTGGCAACTTTATCTGTTAGCGTCATACACACTACATTGGTAACCCCGACAAGCAACTGCGGCTTCTGACGGAGAAAAAACTACAGTGCCGTATGGACTACAAAGTGTCTCTGGGCTTCATACTGGGAATATATACTTGACCCCCGATGTGCCGCAGAAGTACCTGACATCATCATCAACCCTCCAAACAAAGAACCACATAGCACAATCAAGACAGCGCCATTCGGCAACTTGGTGCAAACCCTCTCAGTTCCTGCGCCATCTTAGTAGTTTGGGCGATGTCACTATCACCGAGAGCCTTCTACGAGTCAACTCCCTCAAAATAGACCTGAACAACAAAAGAGGACAAATGTCAGGACCCTAGCGATCACGGTCGCGTTCGCGTAGTTTTTCCAGGAAGTGCCGATTAAACAGTAACAATAGGACAAGCGATCATTGTTATTATCACCGGAGATTCAAAGACAAAACTCTCAAGTTCGTCTCTCCATGTTCAATGTGGTCGAAAAACCGTAACAGAGGTCACTAGCAGCGACGAGTGATATCCTCCCTTCACAACGTCGCCTTTTCGTTACGGACAGAGTTACATCCCTACAATTTTTGGTGGACACATGTGCTAATATCTGCAATATCCCAAGTCTCCCCCGGGCACAGTGCAATCGCGAGTTAGATATAAATGTGTAGTGTTAAGTTATACTTAACTACCTAGCTCTAAGCGCATTTACATGAACCCTATTTTGTACCAAAAATGTAATAGAATGTATTGTTAGTTTTAAGATTATAACCCCTTACCTAGTTCTAAGCGAATATAAATAAAAACGTATTAATAAGCTAAGCTCATTTAAAAAAAAGATTGTCAGTGGCCCGCCCACCAACTGAACCCACCGCGGGGCTGCTAGCTCCAGCCAGTCGGTTACAACTTCTGGTGCTCAACGTGGGGCCTTGCCTCCATCAACCAGAAACGGAACTTGAGACAGAGCCCCGAGCCCTTTTAAGGAACCATGCGCCACCACAACGGCCCCCATCAATCTTCGCAGTGGACCGAATGTGCGGAAATCCATACCCGATAATCAACTCGAAGCCCCCCCTTCAGCTGTCCCCGGCTGTTCATCTCCGTCACTCGTCCGACAAGAGACAGCGACGGTGAAGCCACGGCCGTCTCCATAGCACCGGACCGGCCCAGTCTCGACGACCTGGTCCAGACCCTCACGAAGGCCCTGAAACAAGCGCCGCTCTCGACGCCGCCACCCCCACTACCCGGCCTGCCACACTAAGATCTGATAGGATTCATTCAAAAACTAGAGGACTAAAAGACTACTTCGAACTCCAACACATTTGCAAGGACTTATACATAGCGAACACTGTCAGACACTGGCGGCGTCACCCCTCTGCCCATGCTAGACACTAAGAAGTCACATTTACCATTGGAAGTCAGGAGTTCTACGTACCTAGCCGACACCATTCTGAACGCGCCACCCGAATTCCAGTTAGAACTCTGCAGCCTATTCACCGAGTTCGCAGACGTGTTCAAGGAGGAATCGATCGATCATACTAACAGGGTCACCAAACACCGCATCCGTCTACGGCAAAATACACCTTTCCGGGTCCGTTCGTACCGCTGCTCCGACGCAAAAAAAACCTTTGGCACAGGAGCAGGTGGAGGAAATATGAGCCCAATGAATCATCGAACCCTCTACCTCTAATTATACCTCATCGGTGGTTATCGTACCGAAGAAAGACGACACTCCTCGTTTTTGCGTTGACTACCGACGGCTCAAATACCCTACCCCCCTTCCCGTCATCTAAGCGACTATTCGATATACTGGTACGGCTACGATATTAACCACCCTAGACCTCCGATCTAGATACTGGCAGGTTCCCTTAGACCCTGAGTAGCGCTCACTCACCGCGTTCAGCACACCCGACGACTTCCTCCACCAGTTCACCGTTATACCCTTCGGCCTCAAGGGAAGTCCGGCCTCCTTTCAGCACCTAATGCCACAAGAAATGCTGCCTGGATACCTTTGTCAGTTCGCTATGGTATACCTCGCCGACGTTATCATCTATTCATACACCTGGGAAGACTACACTCGTCAAGTCTGCCAAGCCCTGAAGAGACTGAGCCAATATAACTACCGATGCATCTTCCCTAACTGCCAGTTCAGGAGGCGGGAAATCACCTACTTGGGTCACGTAGTCGACATAGATGGTAACCGCTCCCAGCACCACCACCTGCGACAGATACAGTGAACTGCACCCCCGCGAATTAGCAAACACATACACCAGTTTTAAGGTACCTGAAACTGGCTGCCAGATTACGCACTTTGATTTACCGAGACTGTCGCCCCCCTGACAGACCTGCTAAGTACAAAAAGAAGGTGGACCTAGTTACAGGAGGTTACATTAGAGGGGCCGCACACTTGTGGGGAAAGAAAAGTAGATGTCCAGTGATAGCGAGAGTATGACAAAACAGATTTCACCCAGCGAGCGGTGCTCCGGAGTAGCTGATGGCGACTGGAGGGCCTATACCGGTACTCAGGTGGCGGGGAGCTCACAGGAGTCTAGCTTCGATTCCTGCCCCGCCAATTGGTGTTGGTCCCTATAAAGATGCAGGAAATGTGAGTTCTCGCTGCGCAAGCGAGTTCGCCTCCTTCTGTTCTACTAAACAAGTATCAGAAAAGGGATTACCCTCTAGTGTTGAACAAGTACTAAACCCAAGCCTCTGAAATGAACGAGACTGATGCACTCTAGGGAACGCTGCCGTTAACGCCGCGTTGCCTTTCGCCGAGCCCTCATTGGGGACCGCCCATAACTCATCTCTGAACCAACACAACCTGGTCGTCGAGTAGTTCCCGTAGGGTCTGCAGAATCCACCTCTGACCTAGCCCGTCTCCATCAGGAAAAGCTCTGTTCGCGCGCATCGAGAACACATACGTTCCGCTGCTCGGCGTTCCCCTATCCAGGACCACGAGCCCGAATCAACGATGGAACTCCTGCTCCCGAGCTGGATCCCCGATGCTAGCACCCCCTAGCCGCCAACATCTTCCTGTGTAGATCCTAGACCCTGATTTCGCAACGACCTCCCCCTCGGGCACAGTGCAATCGCGGGTAAGATATAAGTGTGTAGTGTTAAGTTATGTATAAGTACCTAACTCTAAGCGCATGTACATAAACCCCATTTTTGTACCAAAAATGTAATAGAATGTATTGTCAGTTTTAGGTAAGGAGTACTAAGCGAATATAAATAAAAACGTATTAATAAGCTAAACTCTTTTAAAAGAAAAGTTGTCACCGGTCCGCTCACCAACTGAAACCACCTTGGGGCTAACAATAGTAGGAATTACGTTGATAACTTAACAACTTTACAATAATATCAAAAAAGAAATTGATTTTAAGGTAACAGATTAGTCATATTATATAGCAGTAACTGTAAATGTAGAATCAGTGTTAACTATACTAAAAATAAAAAGGAACATCAATAGCCACCATCATGGGAGTAGAAATTAGTCTTTATATAACATCCAATAAAGTCAGTGTCAGAGAAAAAAATATTTTATTAATATTCTTAATAAATTTCCATCAAGTATATATGTAGTTCAGTTAACGCAATTATAAAATACTCTGGGCTAAATGCTTTTTCAAGGTGTTTTTAGTGACAATAAACAAAAATGTTTTTAAAATATCATGTTAAAATGGAAATTAAAAATTATTAAAACTGTTGAATATTTAAAAGTCGTTTCAGTTAGGTATTATCACCACCTTATCATCATGAAATTTAAAAGTACCTGTTAATACAAATGGCATACGATCATATTGGCTTAGAGTAAATGCTAGTACCGCTCCAAATATTACAGCGAGAGCATATCTGGTCAATGAAAAAAGCCAAAAGAATAATGACATCACGTTCTGAGTTTTGGTCTTTTGAGGATCACTTTTGGAACTTCCACTACTACAAACATACTACATTTTTTCAATATAGCCATAACTGTTCAAAGAAACATTGACATCTCAAGTTAAATATCAAATCACTTACTTTAACAACCAAAAGAAATACAACAGTACAAATTCCCAAAATTGTATCGCCGATTCGAACTTTTCTTATATTCTCAATAACGGTTATCCAACTATCCAAAAATTCTGACCCTTGACCTGATATACCCAACAATGATCTAAGCTGCGCTGAACCTGTTTGAATAGCAGCAGCTGAAGTAAATCCCGCTATCACAGGATACGAAAAGAACTCCACCACAAATCCTGAAAACAAAATAAACTGTGAAAACAGTAAATAGCTAGGAAATTATATAAACACAGACGCGGTAAACGCCATCTGTAATACAATACTACATTTAGTCGAATTCATTATGCTCAACAAGGTCCATTTAAATAGATGGATATCTACTTGCTGAACTGAATCCACGGCGTAGCTCACCACTACGTGATAGGCACGTTACCAAAATCAAACAGAGAAATTCGAAGTGGTCAGTATTCTGTCGAAACTACCAGACGCAGATCGCGATTTCGATCTTGTTGGATCTCATCAGCGCAACACAGACAGTTTCGACAGAACATTAACAGTTTTCAAGACCAAAAAACTTTGCGAGGAAAGATTGTTTAAATTAATTCACCAAAGATATACTCCGAAGAAATGGAACCCCTATATAACAGTGGCTAAATAACTTACTGTCTGTTCGCAAATGAAACTATAATTTCTAGGTCAACCCAAGGCTACTTATTGCTGTTCGCAAGTGGCACTAAATCTCATTTGTTCGCAAATGACACATTCGCAAATAGCACTAACTCACTCCATATAGTATATAATTTGTAGACATACGGCACACGCACATGTATGTAAGCCACTCAGCATTTCTATCGTCCCTGTCGATTGATCAAAACTGTTTGATAAACATTTTACATTTAATACATATAAATAATAATAGTATAAATACTGTGTAAATACATCGAATAAATCATTCTCGCAAATTGGCTCATCTTCTTCTGACCATTGGCGTCGCAAATAGACTACAGACCGGAGTCTGGCAACTTTATCTGTTAGCGTCATACACACTACATTGGTAACCCCGACAAGCAACTGCGGCTTCTGACGGAGAAAAAACTACAGCACCGTATGGACTACAAAGTGTCTCTGGGCTTCATACTGGGAATATATACTTGACCCCCGATGTGCCGCAGAAGTACCTGACATCATCATCAACCCTCCAAACAAAGAACCACATAGCACAATCAAGACAGCGCCATTCGGCAACTTGGTGCAAACCCTCTCAGTTCCTGCGCCATCTTAGTAGTTTGGGCGATGTCACTATCACCGAGAGCCTTCTACGAGTCAACTCCCTCAAAATAGACCTGAACAACAAAAGAGGACAAATGTCAGGACCCTAGCGATCACGGTCGCGTTCGCGTAGTTTTTCCAGGAAGTGCCGATTAAACAGTAACAATAGGACAAGCGATCATTGTTATTATCACCGGAGATTCAAAGACAAAACTCTCAAGTTCGTCTCTCCATGTTCAATGTGGTCGAAAAACCGTAACAGAGGTCACTAGCAGCGACGAGTGATATCCTCCCTTCACAACGTCGCCTTTTCGTTACGGACAGAGTTACATCCCTACAATTTTTGGTGGACACATGTGCTAATATCTGCAATATCCCAAGTCTTTAAAACCTGGGCTACGTCAGAAATCATCATTGACGCCACAAGCAGCAAATGACACCATCATTCCGACCTACGGCTGCATCAATCTGTCCCTCAACTTAAGACCTACGTAGAAATTTCGCATGGCCATTTATAATTGGGGATGTCAGCAAACCAATTATTGACACCGATTTCTTGGCCCACTATCAATTGCTCGTAGATTTAAAAAACCAATGTCTCCTTGATCAGCTCAGCCAACTTATCACCCCGGCATGGTGACTGGTTGCAGCCAACCCTCAATAACAATAATCACGGATAACAAATCCACTACATCCAGGTACGATGACCTACTCAAGCAATTTCCGTCACTACTGCGCCCCAACGGTTACTTCATTGCACCCCAAGCATACAACAAGGCATTACATAAACACTATCCCTGATTCTCCCGTAGCTTCCAGACCACGACGTCTAGCTCCGAACCGATTTGCAGCAGTCAAAGGAGAGTTTGAAGCAGTAGTACAACTGGACATCGCTCGCCCTTCCTCTAGTCCTTGGGCATCGCCATTACACATGGTCCTGAAGAAAGACGGTGAATAGCGACCCTGCGGAGATTATCACTTATTCAACGCAAAAACGATTACCGACAGATACCCTGTTCGAAACATTGGAAATTTTACGCATGCCTTATCAAACAAAACAATATTCACCACAATTGACTTAGTTTGAGCATACAATTAAATCCTGACGAAAACATTCCAAAGACGGTAAACACAACTCCATTTGGATTATTCGAATTTCCGTTTATGAATTTCGGCATACGCAATGTCAGTCAAACATTTCAGCGATTCATAGACGCAGTATTGCGCGGTCTCGACTTTTATTTTACCTCATTGCCTTGAAATCCGCCACTCAGCACGAACAGCATTTAAAAAATGTTCACGCGATTAAACTCATATGGTGTGCTACTAAACAGACCAAAGTACAAGTTCGGTCAAAAAGAAGTTTCCTTTCTAAATTACTCTGTCAGCGAAAGGTATACGACCTGTACGTGATAGAGTAATAACAATAATAAATTACGCAAAACCAATCACGGCGAAACAATTACGACAATTTCTGGTTATGCCAAACTTCTACAAGAAATTCCTACCAAACGCTGCCCACACGCACTCAAAATTAAACATATTACTCCAAGGGAACTTAAAGGGCAACACACCACTACGATGGAACAAAACGGCCGACTACGCATTCGAATAGAGTAATAAACAACTTGCTCAATCAAATCTCCTACACCATCCTCAACCTAACACAACAGTAGCTATATTTTGAGACGCTTTCGACCACTGCTTGAACGCTGCGTTACTATAATACCCCATCGTTTGCTTCACAATTTTCAACCACTTGTATTCCTTAACGCATCCTGGTATACGTGCATTTAACCAAATGGTCAAGCTTCATGGTCCAAAGTAAAACTTTCTGCCCCTCTGGGAATCTTCAACATGCTTCCACCAGACAGATTCGAACACGTACAACTATACATAATCGTAATGCCCTACTCTGAAGGATGCCGCTGCTGCTTCACACGCGTAGATCGATTGACACGTTGGCCCGAGGCAATTCCCATCAAAGATGAAGAAGCAGTAGCACGTGCTTTTACGAAGGATGGATCTGCACCGTCACGGATAACTACAGACCGAGGAAGACGATTCGTATCTCAACTCTTCAATGAACTGTCTCACCTAACGAATACCAAATACATCTATACCACGGCATACCACCCTACAACAAATGGAATGGTCGAACGATTTCACCGCCAGTTGAAGCTGCAATAACATGTCATCTAATCTAACAGCTGGACCCACCTGGACCTGGAGAATTCCTATCTCCACCATGCTCACAGACCAATAACAGCTCATCTACCTACGTACAACAGCTTCACCAACACTTCCAACTATTACAGCCTATATCCGAAACACTACACGGGGAAAAGGAGAAATTCATCTACAAAGACCTCCAAACAGCAGAGGACGTCCTAATTCGAAAAGATGGTCATAACAAATCTCTTACGACGGCCCTTTCAAAGTAATCAACAGGAACGACCACACGTTCACAGTCGAACTACCCAACAAAGAGAAAAATCTATTTACCGACCTAAACCAGCATACAAATGTCAAAAGGACAACCTCTCCTGTGCCTGTAACCACAAACAACGACGCCGCTCAATCAACAAAAACAACCCGCTCCTGACGTCGAGTACGCTTCCCGAAATACTTCACAGTAAGATGACCAGTATCGTTAATCACTAGGGAGGGGTCCTGTGGGAACACTCCGTACACCTAGTATATAATATGTAGACATACAGTACATGCACATGTATGCAAGCGACGCAGCATCTGTATCGTTGCTATGGATTATCAACCATCAAACTCGGACTAAACTGCTTGATAAAGATTTTACATTTAATCCATGTAAAAAATAATAGTATAAATACTGTGTAAATATATCGAATAAATCAGTCTCGCAAACAAACTCATCTTCTTCTGACTATTGGTCTCGCAAATAGACCATAGTCACACCATCATCCAGCTCCAGTCTCTCAAATAGACTGGAGCCTAGCAACTTTTATAATTTAATCGTCCCCAAAGCTGTCCAAACTTTTTTATTTACATTGTAAAATTACCATAACAACAATTAAAATAATAAAGAAAGAAGGTTTTACTCGCGGCTTTGCTCCCACTGATGTCCTAAATACGTGTCAAAGATCATCGAAAATACAATAATTTGATTTTGTTCTTAAATACTGACCAGGATCATCATCAGGATAAAACTAAAATTTCTATAAGACCGACTAGTTGTTTTTTTTAGTCGGTCTGTTGGCAAAGTTAAATTCATTTAACAATTTACATATTTTGTTATTATTTTTTTTAATAATAAGTTTACCAAATCNGTCGGTCTGTTGGCAAAGTTAAATTCATTTAACAATTTAAAGAACTCAATTTCACCGACAAAATTAGATTTTAGATAAATAAATTTTCTAAATCTCTAGGTGAAACATACACTATGTGTATAATGACAGAATATACTGGCCTTCATTATCTAGATATGAAAAGAAATTTATCTATTCCTCGGGAACAGAATTTTTTCTTAATAAAAGGTACCTTACAACGTCTATACAAAATTTCAAGATCGGTGGAGTAGTTAGGGCGTGAAATAGTAACAAACAGAGAAACTCACATTCGAATTTATAATATTAGTTATGAGTAGCATCGAATACTAGACTTTAAACTAAACTAATACAAGATCACAACTGCAAAATTAAGTTTGTAGTTTTTTCAATTATAACTCCATAATAAATTGTAAAATATCACATAACTACGGAGGTATTTGAAAAAATAATAATTATTTCAAATTGCATAAAAAGGAAAATTGGTTCTTAATACTCAATACATAAGAGGTGCCTGATTAATTAAGATTATTATTTTTATTTTCATTTTGTTTCACGGCATTAAATAAACGAATCAAAATTCAGTTTCTGAACTGAACTACATGAGTCCCTACACACATACTAGGTATTTAAAATAAACATTCCTTCGTATCATTGAACAAAATGTAATCAGTTAACTACAAAATAAATACATGTCCCACGTATAAACACAATTACCTACATTACATTATTTTTCCGTACATAAGGGCAGAGTGATAAATTTTATCAGTCACAATAGCACTTAATAAAAATCTTAAGTACCTACCGCTTTTTTTGAATTAACGTTATGTTAGTTGTTCGTGAAATATTTACTTGCAATTTTAACATTAAGTTGGTACAAAACAATATTTCCAATTGTTGGAAGGTTAGGATGTTGTTGTTTGAAGCATTAGTAGAAGGAGTAAAAATGCATGGAGAAACAGAGTTGGACATAATGTGAAGAAATACGTTAGAAAGAATATAGAAAACACAATAAATATACCAAAAAAAGCAATAAGTAATAAGCTTGCAGGAGGTAATACGACACTAAAAAAAATAAATCGAGTAAAAGTTTGGTAGAACGAAAGTCCACCGTTTCCGGAGAAAAAGTATTTGAAAAGCCAGGCAAGGCTCAGTCCAGTTCTGGTAGTATCATGCTGTATCCGTAATGTATTTCTGTACTCATGTATTGTTTATTATTTGTTAGATTAGGTTAAAAGTGATGGATGATGTTTATGTTACATACTGCATGGAGTACTTCTTTGTTCTTTCAACGTTGTAAGCTTGGATGTATGTAATTAGTCAATTTAAACAGTAAATCACTGTGTCAGTATCATAAGTCAGTGTAGAACAGAGCCGGGCAAATTTTAACTTCGCAGGAGCCGCTACATGAGGTTAGTTTGAGTCACTCCATACCCTTCAATGAGTACGAGAGAGTAAGCAGTAATGAATAATTTTGTTTTGTCTTTTTCTTCTCCCTTCCACTCCCATATCAAGCACCTTCATCCCGTAGACGAGCGAAGCCACTCACGCAACTTAAATAATACCTACGAAAATTTTCGTTACTACGTTCGCAAAACTATTGGGTTCGGCTATGGAAGAGGGGACTCGTCTACGAAATGGAAGGGATAAGAAAAGGAAAGAATCATCTCACTCGCACTCGCAGGATCAATGAGGAGCTACTTGGTTAACCTTGAGAATCACTCGGGATACAAAAGATCCGAGTTTGCCCGGCTCTGGTGTAGAATAGTGTTATTGTATTAATGATTACATGGATTTATTTTCGTAACCGTGTATGTTCGCTGCAAATGAAGTACGCCAAATGCCGGACGTCTTTGTGCGTCTCAAAAATAATGTTTGTAGTGTATACGTACATATGTGCGTGTGTGTTTACTGATGTTATAAGTAATGCTTCATATAACAACCCCGGTGGTTTTCAAAACGCTTCTGTAACCTTGGAACACGTGACGTTACTATTGTGTAATAGACCAGGCAGAGCACACGTTGCGATCGTTGCAGATACTCACTTTTTGCGTTATTAATGATAATTAAATACGTCTATTTCAGATAAGTTGCGTGAGGCAGCATAAATAAATTGAGTTTTAATTTTATTCAGCATGTTAAGAAATAAATTGAATAATTAACGTTTACCGCAAACGCCGATTTATGATTAATTATATTATAAATTGGCGATTTAGTTCCAGCATTCAGTAATTTATCGAGACTGTCTATGGCATGCTGATGGGATTAAATAATATTGACATCGTGGTCTACGTTTGGTAGTTTCGATAAATTACTGGCCAAGAACTTATACAGTATAAGATGTTTCTGAAATAAGTAACAAGCCTGGATTCAAAACGCTTAGCGTAGCGATCTCCAAAATGATTTTTGAACCGTAGGAATTTTTTTTTATTTTTAGTAATAAGCGTAGACTTAATAAAAGGAATTTCCAACTCAATTATATAAACGGCAAAACCCGGAGTGTATTCTAATTATGACTTTTGGCTGATCGAAAATTTGAAAAATAGTGAGCAAGATCAAGGGGGGCTTTTTTGCTATTGGCTACAGGTACGTATTATTTACAGCCAACATGCCGTCGCTATCGCCTCCTATAATTTCTACAATAGGGGACTAGTTTCAGCGTTTGACTATTCAAGTTAGTCTCTCCTTAGATAAAAAAAAAATTTATCCCAAAAAAGGCCCCTTTGAAAAACGTATACATGTTAAGCTTAAAGACCAAAATAAAAGTATTAAAGTAGAAGAAAATTATATTATTAAAGTATTAAAACTCTTCATTATTTTATGTGTTTGTTTTATTCTTACCTAAATGTAATATGCCCATTGTAAAAATAATAATACCAGAAATAAGTGTCATTAATACGGCTCCATCTGCCCCCATTGTTTGAACAGAAGGCTGTATCATTAATGACAACAATCCTGTAGGTCCTACATTGATATCTTTACAACTACCAAACAGAAGATATACGAATATGCCCATATATCCAGAATACAAGCCATAATGTAGATCAAGACCTACAGAAATTAAAATAAAAATATTCACTGATCAGCATTAAAGATATTCGTTAATGATTTAATAAACTATTAAACGTGGGTTAATCTTTTTTTTTTAAGTTAGTAAATAGCTTTTATTGAATTTATTTTATAGATGCTAAATTTTTGCAAACATTGCAAACACTTGTTTAAAAAATTTTCAGCAAAGAGTACCTACGTGCATACTTAAGAAAGCACATGACGTTATTTATTTAAATTTTTTATTATACGCAATAAACAGGCAAAGCTCATCATATACAATGTATCATTCATGTTTACTAACGCAGTTTACAAGAAAGCAACATAATAACATTAACAATGCAATAATAACACTGGTCGGCATCAAAATAAGAGCAAAAAAACGTATATGTGGACATAATATATATGGATACGTTAAATCCAAATATGTAGTTAGAATTCACCTACCACGGCTAATTTCAAGACAATAGCATTTTTTGTTTGCACTAGAATTGTTTTCTTACAGTTGCAGGCAGCGGTATTTGCTATCGTTCGTACATGTATTAAGATTTAAAAGTGGTGGCAATGCTGACAGGATTCCAAGATTGATACACAAAATTTTGTTTCTTTCTATGCGAGTGGGATAGTAGAGCAAAAGCGAGTCATTATGTTCAACAAAATTACCCCTTAAGGTCACATGTGATTGCAGGGAGTAAAAACATTGTAAACGAGCCTTCAGTTGACAGCCAAAAAATATTTTTGCCGCCACTACACATAAAGTTAGGCTTAATAAAAAATGTGGTTAAAGCAATTAACAGGGATGGAGAGGCATTTAAACATCTAAAAATTCCTCATAAAAGCGACGCGAATTTATAAGAGGGCTTATTTATTGGCCCTATCCAAGCATGGATAGCTTTTGAAAATGCGTGTCACAATTTTCTTGGCTATAAAAAGGGTGAAAATTACACAGAGCTGATAGAACTGCTTTTGTCGTATGCAATATGTCTTTAAAAATTCACTTCTTGCATTCGCATTTAGATTTTTTTCTGGAAAATCTTGGTGCCGTGTCTGATGAGCATGGTGAAAGATTCCATCAAGACATTGCACATATGGGAAAAACATACACAGCGACAAGTTTTGCTCGGAAATAAATCGAGAAACAGCAGTTAACATTTATAAAAGAAAGCTATCTACCAAATAGTTACCATTTTTTATGTTTTTTAATTAATTTTGAATTCATATTTTATTTTATTTTTTGTGTTGTAAAAGTCATCAATCAGTGTAATTATTTTCTTTCTAAAAATATACATATATTTATTATATATCAATCATCATCATAAGGTCGTCAGTCCTAAGACTGGTTGGACACGTACCTCCACTCTTTCCTATCCTGAGCTACACTTCGCATTTCTCTAAAACTAGAACAGCCCACATCCTTAACTATTTGCGAACAGTAATCTAATCTAGGTCTACCTCTACCCCTCCTAACTCCTGTTTCTGCCTCTAATATGTCTCTGACTAGACCTTCATGCCTGAGAAGGTGTCCTACCAACCTATCTCGCCTATTTTTTATTGACTTCCATAGAGTCCTCTGTTCTCCTATGCTTTCCAATACCTCTTCAAATATATATCAATACCGGTATTTTATTTAAATGTACATAAATATCTGAAAAACTAGACGTGATAGCTTAAATATGTAAACAGATTTGGACTCAACAAACCAAAGCCAATAGAAATTACATAGTAAGGTTTTTGCTCCCGGATTTTTATTTTTTTTTGCCGACCAACTTCAAGAATAACTTAATTGCATGGGCGCAACAGGGGGGGGGGTGCCTGAGCACCCGCTCGATTGGGTTGGACACCCAGTCAATTCCAGTCGATTCTGATAATAACCCAACTTGAAAGTTCGGTTCAAATAGTTCAAGCTCGTAAATGAGCAGCCGAACTCGCCGACGGTTGAGTGTCTTTTGAAGATTTCACCTCTTCCACGAAAACAAAACCGTCAGTTAGCACTTAGCATTACACAGCACTTAAGGCAAAGAAAGCAACGTGCTACCTCTGAAAATGCTTGCCGCAGTTGTAAGACGATGGCCAAAAAATCCGAAAACAAATGAGGACGCCGATCGTATTTTATTTATTATGCATAATCTTTTAATAAACATTCTGCAATGCCTAAGTGAATAATTATTTTAATATCTGTTAAAATATAGTCAAATTTCTTTAACTCGAACTTCTATAAATTGAAATCTATAAATTATATACATTATAAATTATCTCTTTAATTCAAATTTTTAAAAATTTTCTTCGGGAAAATCAGCCGCAGCAATAATCGATGGCTCGAGCTTTCAGTATTATATTATCAAAAATATGAACAAAATTGTTTAGCCAGTTAAAATACCATAGGAATAGACAGCACCAAGGAATTACTGATATTGTCTGACATCGTGATCTGAAATTGTACGGATTATTAGCCTTGGGACTAATAACGGTTATAATAACCTCTATTAATTAGGGTTTTTAAAATACATTTTCTATTGCATAACCATATTCCGTTTGCTTTAAGAGCTGCGTTGTTGAAATAGTCAGAAAAATTAACATTGAAATCTAGGGATATTCCTAGATTATTTATCAAGGTTTTCCTAGTTAAAGAAACATCATAAATCAAGATAACCTATTTGCATTTTGAATATTATGAACAGGAATAAAAAACACTCATTAACGCTCATACTCATCAAATTAACCATGCACCAATACCTCACCAAATCCAAGTGTTTTTAATCTATACTATATCTATCACAGTTTATTTTACGTCATAATTAATAACTATTAATTATTTTTGTGTGGGCATTTCTAATTTGATTTTTAAAATTGTAAATGTGCGTTACAGTAATCTTGTAAAATAAACTAATTTAAAAATTAACCAATCGATGTTAAATCTAAAGGCATTAAGAGAAAATTTTCTCATGATCTTGTGATAATTAGGGGTGAAGGGATGAGTCTCTTTCACTTTTCTTACTTATCACACTCTCCTTTATTATTATTTTTTTTAATAATAAGTTTACCAAATCCATTTTAAATCTTTTTAATAATTTAAACAAAAGAAAAAGAAAAAGACCTACAGTAAACCAACGTAGTCGGTTTTATGTGTAAATGATTTATATTACTTTGCAAGGTAAATGGAATAAGATTAAAAATCGAGATTGTACAAAAAGATTTTTACTGTACCTAAAACATTATTAATTACAGTTACAAACTGCAACAAGAACAACTAATTGACCACAACTTTTACTTATAAATAAACCAAAAAGAAAACTCTATCTAGTTACCACTATCCTTTTCCCTACATACACGTTTCACCACTTCTAATGTAGGCATACAATATTGACCAATTTATACAAGACCAATATTCAAAGTGGGTGTTGTTAATACTCTCGCTCTTTTTTAGTTTATTTATTCCTTTACCACATTGTCCAATTCCAACTTTGCATTTTTACATATATATTGTGTGTGACTTACACTATTGCCTTCACATTATTTGAATTTTTTTATACTAAAGTATAATGTATTTTAATACTAAGTATTTAGTTAAAAGAATGAGAAAAGTTAATACCTGCAATAGCTGCGTAAGCCAAACTTTGAGGAACCTCAGTTAAAGCTACGGTCAAACCGGCCAAAAGATCATGGAATAACTTATTTACAGTATACGAAGGCAGCCAATCAATTATTGGAACATGGCGTTTTAATCTCACTTTCAAATTCACATCACAACTTAGATTCTTATTACAAAGCTTTACCATCTTTTACACACTAAATTTGTACTAATATATGTAGTCTGTTATGGCAGGACAAAAACAGTTTCTTGTGCTAGTTTCTTTTAAATTGCTTTTTGAAGATTATTGCTGTAGCACCTGACAATTTTAAACTTTTAGACGTTCGCAGACAAACACTAATAAACATGTTCTTTATTTGCTGATGTAGGTACTAAGTATAATTAATCCAGCGTCAATTTAATTTGTATAAATACCGCTACTAACGATAAATAAATCACTGTAACCATCGTTTACCGTTTTCTACGCGTAATCAGTAATTTGATAAGAAAAAAGTTGCAGTTATTAGGAAGTTATAATAGAGCCTATTAACGCTTTTCAACAATCCCACTTAAGATTAAGTTTATTGACTTCCATAGAGTCCTCTGTTCTCCTATGCTTTCCAATACCTCTTCAAATATATATCAATACCGGTATTTTATTTAAATGTACATAAATATCTGAAAAACTAGACGTGATAGCTTAAATATGTAAACAGATTTGGACTCAACAAACCAAAGCCAATAGAAATTACATAGTAAGGTTTTTGCTCCCGGATTTTTATTTTTTTTTGCCGACCAACTTCAAGAATAACTTAATTGCATGGGCGCAACAGGGGGGGGGGTGCCTGAGCACCCGCTCGATTGGGTTGGACACCCAGTCAATTCCAGTCGATTCTGATAATAACCCAACTTGAAAGTTCGGTTCAAATAGTTCAAGCTCGTAAATGAGCAGCCGAACTCGCCGACGGTTGAGTGTCTTTTGAAGATTTCACCTCTTCCACGAAAACAAAACCGTCAGTTAGCACTTAGCATTACACAGCACTTAAGGCAAAGAAAGCAACGTGCTACCTCTGAAAATGCTTGCCGCAGTTGTAAGACGATGGCCAAAAAATCCGAAAACAAATGAGGACGCCGATCGTATTTTATTTATTATGCATAATCTTTTAATAAACATTCTGCAATGCCTAAGTGAATAATTATTTTAATATCTGTTAAAATATAGTCAAATTTCTTTAACTCGAACTTCTATAAATTGAAANAGAAAACTTATTTAAGCTTTCAAAAAATGTTAATTTTATTTTAATCAGAATAAAAGAAACGTTTCGTTTTCATCATCGGTTAACACGCTTGTCTATGGTTAACAACAATGCTTATCCCTGACTGCGGTCTATGTACACTGCTCAAACTACTATCGCTATCACAAGGAATGCGCGATTTCGGCCTGATGTGCAGTGACTGAAGAGTCAGATAATGCTATCTCTATCGTTTGCAAAGCTTGTGACAAACGCATGATTGATCTTTCTATAACTTTCGATCAAGCTCAACCGCAGATATCTCATGCAGCACAGCCTTTGCTGTGTCATCTCCGCACTCTGTGTTCTTTCCCGATGGAGCTGATCTCCCAAAAGATTTTGAAAATATAAATCTTAATGCTGTACAGTCAGCAATCCAGAGTATAGTACCGATAACATTAATGTATCACTCGTGAAGAAATTTACTGCTGACCAGGAAAAATTAGACAGTTATATCAATGATTTAATTAGTTTATCTAACAACCTCGAAGTAAGGGCTACTCCTTTTCTAAACTCAGGATAGAAACAGTAAGAAGGAAAACTTGACACTTGTTGGTATTGAGGAGTCTGACCCAGCAAACGGTGGTGAGGTGGCTAAGGAGAGTGTACTGATTATACATGATTTACAGAAGATTAAGACTATTTTGCATGAGGTCTGCAATAAAGTAAACATGCCAGCACTGCCTTCCATTAAAGATACAGTATTTAGATTTAGCAAACCACAAATGGGGAAAGTATGACCCATCTACATACAACTTGACTCAAGAGACCAGACATCATAAAAAACTCTGCATTCCCCCCAGCCGAGGTGCATGCAATTACGGAGAAAACATAAAACCAGAGAGAATATATTGGCTTGAAACATGATGTCGTTGCTAAACACAATGCAGTCCATCCAACCGACCAACTTAGCGTAAAGTAGAAGAGGAATATACCAACTCTCTTGGATTCGAGAGATCGTCCGAGGGATCCAAAAAACCCAAATGCTTCCCTTCGTAGGATTCGCACTAAATTCAAAGAGCTCCAGCACAGTTTGTCAACGTGTTCCCTTAGGCCTGACATTATTGTTCTTATTGTGACGTAGTGATCATCTCAAAAGATCTCAGCTCTCGCCCTGGATTGCTACACTATCACTAGAAAAGATAGGGACGAATTTAACTCTTCTTTAGCCAGAGGTAGTGGCGTTTTGATCTAGGTGAAATCTCACTTCCTATCAATCCCTATCAAGTGTCCGGATACTAATATCGAATGTGCTTTTTGTTCGTGTGTGCCTCCGTAGTGATATTAAGTTAATTATGAGCAATATGTAAAGACCATAGAAAATTTGAATTTACAGTTGGTGAACTATCAATTGCTTCTCATTGGTGACTTTAATTTACCAAATATTACATGGAGCTCCGAATCATTGGACTACAACAACACGTGATTCTTTTGCAGCTCTTGAACTTCGTCAAGTTCATCAAACTCTCACAGATAAGGGATACAGTCTGGATCTTGCTTTTACTAACTTCAGTGATGTTACTTTTATTGTGAATGTAATTAAGAATAAGGTTTCTGCTCACCTTCGTTTTCGATTATCCCACGCCGAAAATGACTATATTGAATTTAAGCGACTACGTGCTCTATGTTTGCGCCATCGTAAGATGGGCTACAGAAAGTATTGAGTCTTCGCGTCGTCGCAACGTAAAATGTTTCTAGTCATATGTAAATGGGCAATGTCAATCCAGAGGTTTCGGTACCTTCATCTTTTACTTACAGCAATAATACTTGCCTGATCCTCTTGAATCAGCGAATCTTTTTGCCTCCTAATTTAGAACTTTTTTTCTTCCCACCCGAGTGAACGTGCTAATTAACCTAGACGAACCTATTTGACGTCTCAAGAAGTGACGTTGTAAATGCTTTGACCAAAGTTGAGCCCCTTCATGCTATTTTTTCTACCTCAGTACAGTCCGGCTGCTTCCCCACTACCTTAAGAGTTCGTATGTTACATGCGTCCTTAAAAAAATAATCCGTCTGATGAATTATAGACCCACTTCTACTATTAGTATCTTTCCTATATTTCTCGACTATTGCTATAAAAATAGAAGGATGGATAAGTCATGTGATATTCAATGATTAGCACGGTTTCTTGGCTGGTAGGTCAAAAATTGTGAGTTTTACACACTTCGTGTTTCGGGTGATTTCGAACATGGGTAAAGTCGACACCATGTATCTCAATTTCTTTCGCTCGTCGAGATTCATACTGCCGCTCTGGACTGGCCAACGTCCTTTCTTTCGAACAAGCAGTTGATTGTAAAGACAACAGTTTGTCTCAGCCCTTCCATATGTCTATTGGTATCCCGCAGGTTCCCATCTTGACCCACTACTTTTTCTGATCTTCATTACTGATATTACCCATAGCATGAAAAATTCTAATTCCGTTCAGTCATTTTACAGATCACATCGATTTATTGATTTTGCATATCATTGTGGTAACACAATACTGACACGCACAAACGTTAAGTATATAAAGATCTTGGTTTTCGATACTAGCTTACGTTTTTTCAAGCCCTGTGAAGCTGGCACCATGAAGTCCCAAAAATGAATTTCGAAAATGCCAAAATTAGGAGCTTTTTAGGGGCTAATTTGGTGCCAAAGTTATAAATTAGGTGCTCTTCAAATAAAAAAGTTATTCACGATACAATAATCTTGTGCTATCTGACGTGAAGCTGACACGAAACCATGTATTTATTAATAAAAATCGAATGTATGAACAACAAATTTAGGTGCTAATTGGGTGCTCTGAGACAGTAGGATTAACATTTCAGTCAAATATAGCGCAATGCATACACTGATATAGTTCAAATAAACAATTCAGTCACGATGACAAATCAAAGAAACAAAATTACAAAAATATGATACCGTGGACAAATTTAACAGCTATTTAAGTGCTCATTGGCTGCGGATAAAAATTCGCGATAAACAAAGAATAAACATGTAATGAGAACCTAATTATCACAAAAGTGGATAAATGAAAAAAAGAAAAGATAGTAACAAATCAATTCATGGAAATGCTGTGAATTGAGTGCTAATTAGGGCTATTTTTGTATAATAAAACTGGACATTTTTTAATTGAAGATTATGAGTACTAAAAATCATAAAGTCATGCTGAGTATTTGAAAAGACATAAAGAAAAGCTTGATATCAAATTTATTATGAGTTGAGAATTAAGTGCTAATTGAGAGCTATTTTTGTAACACAAAACTGGCCATGTTTAAGTACAAAATTATAGGTAAGCAGTAATAAATATAAAGTCATACTGAGTATTTATAAAGACATAATGAAAAGCTCGATATCAAATTGACTATGAGTTAAGAATTAAGTGCTAATTGAGGGATATTTTTGTAACACAAAACTGACCACGTTTATGTAGAATATTATAAGTAAACATGATTATGGTGTCATACTGAGTATTTACGAAGATTTAATGAAAGGCGAGATATCACGTCTATAATTAACTAAGAATTAAAGGCCAATGGAAGGCTTTTTTGTAACACAAAACTGGCCATGTTTAGGTAGAAAATTATAAGCAGTAATCGATAAGTCATGCTGAGCATTTACAAAGACAAAATAAATAGCTTGATATCAAATCTATTATAAGTTGAGAATTAAGTGCTAATTGAGGGCTATTTTTGTAATACAAAACTGGTCATGTTCAAGTAGAAAATTTTAAGCAGTAATAAATAGAAAGTCATACTGAGCATTTACAAAGACGAAATAAAAAGCTTGATATCAAATCTATTATAAGTTGAGAATTAAGTGCTAATTGAGGGCTATTTTTGTAATACAAAACTGGTCATGTTCAAGTAGAAAATTTTAAGCAGTAATAAATAGAAAGTCATACTGAGCATTTACAAAGACGAAATAAAAAGCTTGATATCAAATCTATTATAAGTTGAGAATTAAGTGCTAATTGAGGGCTATTTTTGTAATACAAAACTGGTCATGTTCAAGTAGAAAATTTTAAGCAGTAATAAATAGAAAGTCATACTGAGCATTTACAAAGACGAAATAAAAAGCTTGATATCAAATCTATTATAAGTTGAGAATTAAGTGCTAATTGAGGGCTATTTTTGTAATACAAAACTGGTCATGTTCAAGTAGAAAATTTTAAGCAGTAATAAATAGAAAGTCATACTGAGCATTTACAAAGACGAAATAAAAAGCTTGATATCAAATCTATTATAAGTTGAGAATTAAGTGCTAATTGAGGGCTATTTTTGTAATACAAAACTGGTCATGTTCAAGTAGAAAATTTTAAGCAGTAATAAATAGAAAGTCATACTGAGCATTTACAAAGACGAAATAAAAAGCTTGATATCAAATCTATTATAAGTTGAGAATTAAGTGCTAATTGAGGGCTATTTTTGTAATACAAAACTGGTCATGTTCAAGTAGAAAATTTTAAGCAGTAATAAATAGAAAGTCATACTGAGCATTTACAAAGACGAAATAAAAAGCTTGATATCAAATCTATTATAAGTTGAGAATTAAGTGCTAATTGAGGGCTATTTTTGTAATACAAAACTGGTCATGTTCAAGTAGAAAATTTTAAGCAGTAATAAATAGAAAGTCATACTGAGCATTTACAAAGACGAAATAAAAAGCTTGATATCAAATCTATTATAAGTTGAGAATTAAGTGCTAATTGAGGGCTATTTTTGTAATACAAAACTGGTCATGTTCAAGTAGAAAATTTTAAGCAGTAATAAATAGAAAGTCATACTGAGCATTTACAAAGACGAAATAAAAAGCTTGATATCAAATCTATTATAAGTTGAGAATTAAGTGCTAATTGAGGGCTATTTTTGTAATACAAAACTGGTCATGTTCAAGTAGAAAATTTTAAGCAGTAATAAATAGAAAGTCATACTGAGCATTTACAAAGACGAAATAAAAAGCTTGATATCAAATCTATTATAAGTTGAGAATTAAGTGCTAATTGAGGGCTATTTTTGTAATACAAAACTGGTCATGTTCAAGTAGAAAATTTTAAGCAGTAATAAATAGAAAGTCATACTGAGCATTTACAAAGACGAAATAAAAAGCTTGATATCAAATCTATTATAAGTTGAGAATTAAGTGCTAATTGAGGGCTATTTTTGTAATACAAAACTGGTCATGTTCAAGTAGAAAATTTTAAGCAGTAATAAATAGAAAGTCATACTGAGCATTTACAAAGACGAAATAAAAAGCTTGATATCAAATCTATTATAAGTTGAGAATTAAGTGCTAATTGAGGGCTATTTTTGTAATACAAAACTGGTCATGTTCAAGTAGAAAATTTTAAGCAGTAATAAATAGAAAGTCATACTGAGCATTTACAAAGACGAAATAAAAAGCTTGATATCAAATCTATTATAAGTTGAGAATTAAGTGCTAATTGAGGGCTATTTTTGTAATACAAAACTGGTCATGTTCAAGTAGAAAATTTTAAGCAGTAATAAATAGAAAGTCATACTGAGCATTTACAAAGACGAAATAAAAAGCTTGATATCAAATCTATTATAAGTTGAGAATTAAGTGCTAATTGAGGGCTATTTTTGTAATACAAAACTGGTCATGTTCAAGTAGAAAATTTTAAGCAGTAATAAATAGAAAGTCATACTGAGCATTTACAAAGACGAAATAAAAAGCTTGATATCAAATCTATTATAAGTTGAGAATTAAGTGCTAATTGAGGGCTATTTTTGTAATACAAAACTGGTCATGTTCAAGTAGAAAATTTTAAGCAGTAATAAATAGAAAGTCATACTGAGCATTTACAAAGACGAAATAAAAAGCTTGATATCAAATCTATTATAAGTTGAGAATTAAGTGCTAATTGAGGGCTATTTTTGTAATACAAAACTGGTCATGTTCAAGTAGAAAATTTTAAGCAGTAATAAATAGAAAGTCATACTGAGCATTTACAAAGACGAAATAAAAAGCTTGATATCAAATCTATTATAAGTTGAGAATTAAGTGCTAATTGAGGGCTATTTTTGTAATACAAAACTGGTCATGTTCAAGTAGAAAATTTTAAGCAGTAATAAATAGAAAGTCATACTGAGCATTTACAAAGACGAAATAAAAAGCTTGATATCAAATCTATTATAAGTTGAGAATTAAGTGCTAATTGAGGGCTATTTTTGTAATACAAAACTGGTCATGTTCAAGTAGAAAATTTTAAGCAGTAATAAATAGAAAGTCATACTGAGCATTTACAAAGACGAAATAAAAAGCTTGATATCAAATCTATTATAAGTTGAGAATTAAGTGCTAATTGAGGGCTATTTTTGTAATACAAAACTGGTCATGTTCAAGTAGAAAATTTTAAGCAGTAATAAATAGAAAGTCATACTGAGCATTTACAAAGACGAAATAAAAAGCTTGATATCAAATCTATTATAAGTTGAGAATTAAGTGCTAATTGAGGGCTATTTTTGTAACACAAAACTGGCCATGTTCAAGTAGAAAATTTTAAGCAGTAATAAATAGAAAGTCATACTGAGCATTTACAAAGACGAAATAAAAAGCTTGATATCAAATCTATTATAAGTTGAGAATTAAGTGCTAGGTAATTGAGAGCTATTTTTGTCACACAAAACTGACCATGTTCAAGTAGAAAATTTTAAGCAGTAATAAATATAAAGTCATACTGATTGTGAGTATTTATAAAGACAAAATGAAAAGCTTGATATGGAATCTATTATAAGTTGAGAACTATGTGCTAATTGAGGGCTATTTTTGTAACACAAAACTGGCCATGTTTTTGTAAGAGGTTATGAGTAGAAATGATTATGGTGTCATACTGAGTACCTATATATACGAAAATATAATAAAACGCTAGATATCACGTCTAATCCATAATCATTTCTACTTATAATCTCTTACAAAACATGGCCAGTTTTGTGTTAGAAAAATAGCCCTTAATTAGCATTTAATTCTCAACTTATAATAGATTTGATATCAAGCTTTTCATTGTGTCTTTGTAAATACTTAGCATGACTTCTTGATTTTCTCTACTCATAATCTTCAATTAAAAAATTACTATTTTTATTATACAAAAATAGCCCTTAATTAGCACTTAATTCACAGCATTTCCATGAATGAATTTGTACTTACTAGCTTTTCTTTTTTTCATTTCTTCAGGTTCTCATTACATGTTTATTCTTTGTTTATCGCGAATTTTTATTTGCAGCCAATGAGCACTTAAATAGCTCTCATTTTTGTAATTTTGTTTCTTTGATTTGTCATCGTGTCTGAATTGTTTATTTGAACCATATCAGTGTATGCATTGCGCTATATTTGACTGAAATGTTAATCCTACTGTCTCAGAGCACCTTATTAGCACCTAAATTTGTTGTTCATACATTCGATTTTTATTAATAAATACATGGTTTCGTGTCAGCTTCATGTCAGATAGCACAAAATTATTGTATCGTGAATAACTTTTTTATTTGAAGAGCACCTAATTTATAACTTTGGCACCAAATTAGCCCCTAAAAAGCCCCTAATTTTGGCATTTTCGAAATTCATTTTCGGGACTTTGTGGTGCCAGCTTCACGGTCCTGTTTTTTCATACTTATATATATTTATACAAGTCGCTCGTTACGCCAATATTGCTATATGGAGCACCTAAATGGACATCATATTTCTTTTACCGAAGTAGGCGAGTCGAGGCAATGCAGCATAGATTTTAACGAATTTTAACTCATCGTAATCATATTCCCTTTTCTCTATTTGACCATAATTTTGATAATATACAATCTTATTTCATATCATTCTGGTATCCTGCCTGCATCAACTCACTGACTTAAAATTTGTATAATATTATATATCGAATATAGATTATAGTGAGCTCTCTGATATTATCTGCCCTCGCGAAGCACCTTATAGCCTCCATGCTGGTCGCCAAGTATCCGAAATGCCTAGTCGTTCAAACTATCACTTTAATTCAACTTAAATAGATTTTTAAATCACCTAAACACGGACATTAAACAGGAACCGAATACCGTGGAACTATGGTATTTACTTTACTACCTCACCATAAATCTTGATTAAGAACTCCATTTGTTTACCTATATTTCATTATCTATACATCTTTTCTATAATTTATACGCCTGCTCTCTCTTGTGACTTTAATACGATTGCTCTCTGTACATTAACTTAATACGTATTGCGCCTATGCCCGTTGATTTTCTCCAATAAACAAAAATAAGCAAATCTTGTTCTCTATTTTAATATATGATCGTCTGTAGCATCGAAATTTTATTTACTATAAAAGAAAGAAGGTTTCGTTTAAATAACAGCCCTGTTAATATGAGTCCAATCGGAAAAATGAATGTAACGAACTTTTTGGATCATTTAACTAAAACAAAAGCATTTGGAATCTTGTATCAAAATAATGAACAATGAGGGTAATTTTCGAGCAACCCTGTATATGACCGTCTATGTTGAAAAATCATCTAAATAGTTCATCGTGGACCTTTTAAGTAAAACCAACGCCTTTTTTATTTATTTTAAAAAGGGATAAAGATAAAGTGGCACAAGTGGTCAAATTTTGACTGTGCATTACAAACTTGAATTTTTATTCAATTTTCACAGCAAAACAAAACTTTTCATGCAGTTTTAAGTTTTTTCTTATCTGTAGGTTTTCAAATAAATTATTTTACCAATCAATTTCTCACATAAACACTTTTATAACTAGCTACATTAAACTATAATCAATATAGATCAGTGTAAAATAGTAAAGACATTTTAAATATATTTAAACACTACATCACGTTTATCCTGTACAGTTTGAAGTTCCATTTTAACAAGACACTGCAACCAATAGCTAAGAAGTTCCTCACAATAACCAATCAGAAAATACATTTGTCTAGCATTTGCTTGTTGGTGAACTATTCCTGCAATACGAATAATATTGTGTTGTCTTTTAATTATTACTTCACTAACAAATAGATTATGCCAAGTTCCTGTAATAAATTTTCTAATGAACAAATCTTCAACTGCAGTTTCAGCAGGACGTACGCCCCCATCTACATTTGCTGAAAATATATTTATACATGAAACATGTTAAAAATGACAATGCTTATAACCATTCATACATGTATTCCATGAGTTCCATGCTTTTCGATGTGCTATTTGATGAGGTGGATTTGCCATTTCGTAGGTTAAAGGGAAATCTTTTCTAAGTGATATTCGATATCTACCAGCTTGGCATTTATTAAGATTTGTCGTTGTGTGGATAAAGCATTGAGGTGGAGCGTGTTCTTTTATTATCTGCAAACAAGTACTTTTATTATACATATGTATACCCTGATATACCATGGAAATTTCCAACTTACTTTCGCAAACAATGCATTATTTCTAATAAGTTTGGCCATTCTTTACAATAAGTTTTAAAACTACTTGTTATCTAGCTTGTTGCCTTAATTTTGGTTGTATTTCACATTCATTTAAACCCTATTTAAATGTACTTTAAAGGTTAAAATCATAAATTAAAATGTTATCTATGGTTAAAATCAAGTAAAAAACATTATGAGCATAGATATTATGAGTGTCTCCTGCATGGTCCGACCGTGTTTTTAATTTTTTTAAAAGAACTGACTAACGGCGTTATTAGGATATTGTTACTCAAAATTCCGCATAAAACTTTAGGAACATAAACACAGAAAATGGACTGCGCTTTCTCTATTTAACCATGAAGTAATGCAGGCAAAAACGTGTGAGAGATATATATGGCCACTAGTTCTCTTTTTTTAGAATTTTGATCGGTTTACGTGAGTCTTACAGTGGTGAATGAACGAGGTAAAGAAAGAAATAAAGAAACAGATATTGATCTAACTATCGGTTCCCCTCTTTCTAAAGAGTGGTCAATTGCGTGAGGGTATTGCTCACTTGTTCAGGCCATTTTCTAAGTCTATGGTGGTAGTGGCTAGACCATACTATAGAATCATATAACATGACTTGTCTTTGTCTATGGACATGTCATAGATAAGAGATATTATAGTAGCATGCATATAACCCAACTTCTGTCTGCAAGTAGCAAAACTGGGCAAAACCTAGTCAGCTGTTCATAATAAATTATTTATTACCTTTTTTTATTTGAGACAGTTAGTGTAATATTTTGTAGTAATTAATAATTATAACATAAAAAACATTATTGCCTGCAATTTTACAAAAATTGTAATTATTTTACTATCATGACGGATAGAACAAGTGGCGATGGAATGGAAAATACGGCTTCAATAAATACTGAAAATAGATTTTTAAATCACCTAAATATGAAGATCCAACCAACGATTAATTATTGTCAGACTTTTCGACCAGTAGAACCCAAAGGAAAAATTTTCTATGCAGTTCCTAAATATGTTCCAAGAAAATGTAAAACACAAAATATTTTCTCAAGAAAGCCGAAGGAGCCAAAATTTGTGCCTTGTGAGCCTTATAAAGCATCTGTACAACCCATTTTACCACTAAGTAATAAACAAAAATCTATTATAATGGAAAGACCTTTAAGAAACAATGCAGCTATACAAGATCTAGTGACACAAATGTCTGTTATTAGAACAGCCGAATTATGTAAATCATTTAATCCAGAAAACAATGATCCTATTTCAAGAGCTGATTGGGAAAAGGCTAAATTACAGTATGAGACAGATATCAAAAACTTAAGAGAAAATAATAATCATCTGGAGAATCAATTAAAGTTTCAAGCCCAGGTTTGTTCGCATTTTTTTGCTTAGTTTAAAATGTTTTTTATGTCTGTTGCTATGTTTCCTACATTGCTAATGGTTTTTATGTTTCTCTGAATTGAAAAACGCTTCTGTATTTAGGTAAACAGTGAACTAAAAACATTACTAGTAGCAGCTGTAGGTGAAGATTTAGAATCTAGGGTTCAACATTTAACAGAAGACAAACTTCAGTTAGCTAGAGCTCTGCTAAGTTCTGCAAATCATCTTACTTCTCATCAAGAACAGACTGAATGGCTATCAGGTCAATGTGAGGTTTGGAGAAGTAAATTTTTAGCATCTAGGTATGGAAAAATTAAATATTATTAATTCATTTTTACTTTATGTGTTTATGTCTACAGCTTAATGGTGGAAGAATTAGCCCGTTGGAAGTCGGCCTTAAGCAATAAAGTTAATGAATGTCAAGAAATTATAAAAGGTCTTTTAGAAGAACGAGATAAATTAAAAAAACATTTATGCAACATTTATAAACATCTTAGTGCAGTTCATAATTCAGAAAACATAGTTGACCCAGAAAGTTCTAATACACACTGTGATGTAATTGAATTAGTTAAGAAAATATGTGATATGAGTAACAAATTTTCAGAAAAATTTGGATGCCATGATCCTATTGAAAATAACTGCGCAAGAATTAGCTTTAAGAGCACCCTGTATGAAGCTCGTGGTAAAAAGGTAAGACATTTGTCATGTATTTACATAATTAGTAAATTTATTGAATTATTAATTTTTTAACAACAAAATGCCGAAATGAAATAAAATTCTTTACCAAAGAAAATTATTTCAGAAAATGTTTTTTGCTAGTCAAAATATGTCCATGCTAATGAATTTTTCAAAGGTATTTTATACTCCAAAATTACGTAAAAGGCGTATTTCCCGCTCTGTTTCTAAAAGTGCTTGAAACTAAAATCATAAAAAAATGTAACTAACTTGATAGAATTATTTTCAAACTGCAGAAAAACTGTAGCTATACCTATATTTTTATTGTTTTTTTGTTAATATCCATAATGATATGGCAACTAATAAACTTAATGTTGCGGTCTGTTATATTATTACTATTCGAATTAATAACTCTATTACAAACTTATTTAAATAGGGCATCAACTCATCAGTAATTTAGGTATACTTAAGGTTGTTCAGAATGGGCGGGCGATAATACACGTAAAACCGTTTAAATCGTAGCAGTTGCCGCATGTGAGACGCAATTCCGTATTTAATCATAACGTTTACAAGCAGTCACAGCTCCAATCACCTTGAATTTGTAGCATGTTGTAAAGATCATAATACTGACCACTTATAAGCATAGTTTTTCAACGTTAAAAACCATAAAAACACGGTAACACATTGATGTTCTTATAGATTTGCTTTATGGTAAACAAAAGGGAGGAGACATGCCTATGAAAACACACTTCTATCGTATTGTCTTTTCTTACCTTAAACCAATAAACTTATTAACAGGAGAAGTATACTTCATTTACTTTCTCTAGGGATGTGCGCCTTCCAATGTCTTGGATGCGCGCTGGCAAAATCGTAGGTAGGGAGAAAAAAGCTCATTATACTCTCGACTCTTGTTCATTAAACATACTTTTCCATACAGTACCTGCCAAAAGTTTTGTTCAATCATGAATAGTAGTGCGAGTTGAAAACAAACGTTAAAGCATTTAGTATATCTTCAAATATAAATAAACATCTAGTTGATATTTTCAGTAGTAAATGGTACCAATAACAGCACATTTGAGCAATGCAATTGTAGTGGATAAAATGGTCAATTTTTCCGAGCGGTTAAAAGTTTGGCCGATAGTTGTCTCCTTCCTTTTCTGGTCTAGTGCTGTTCTTTTCTACTTTGCGCCGGTCAAACTGAAGGGTCACATCGCTACAGAAAGTAAACAATGTATAACATTTCTTTTGCAGTTTAACGAAAAAATAATTAAATTCAATTGACGCATCAACCGTTGATTTCCCTAACCGCTATATGCTAAATACACGAGTATATGAAAATTTATTACCAACAAGCTGTATCTAGCGCAATTGTTAGTTATTTACTCATATAACAAAATTCTCATACTGTCCCACAAATATTATGCGCCAATTTTTCAGTCCTCCATTCATAAGTTGTCGATTTTATGAGCACTTGTTCTACGATTATCAAATGTAGTAACCAGGAGAAAAAGGTGTAGGGTGTAGGGTGTCCTACATAAATATTGCTCTATATTGTGGGTCCTACAAAAAAGAACTTCAAAATTGAATATGAAGTTAGACTTTAGATCTAAATCAGTTTTCAGTACTTATTAACGTGCGTAACAAGTATAGGCTCTCTTTTGAACGGTTTATGGAGTTGCACAAGCGCTCGTCCATCTGAACGTTGCCTAATAAATCAAAAACGTTAAAATTAAAATAATTATGGAAAGGAAATGAAATTAGTAGGTTTCGCGCATTTTCAGAAATGCATGGTCATCTGTAACCAACAAATAAAAATAATAGATTTCACCCTCCACGCGAATCAAACTCACATTTAACTTATATTATTTTGTACCAAATATAACTTTTAATTAAACGAAAACCAAAGAACTTACTACTTATTAATTTACTATTTCAGACTCTAGAAAACCCAGTGATTCCAACTTCAAAACCAGATTTAATATGTAACGCTCTATTAGGGGCTGCGCTGTCCATAGGACAGGGACAAATGTATTTACAGTATCCTTCAACGCGCGCCACCTGTTGTTCCCATTGTAAAGGAACTATGGAGGATATTTGACAAAAACATAATTTAAATATGCATTTTTTCAATTCTAGGAGTTGTTTTTAATTATTTTTAGTCAATAAACTAGATTCGGGCATTTTAAGAAATTAGAATATTTAATGTTTCGATTTGGTGCCGCATTTTTAGTAGGTATTAATAAATATCACTTTTTCAAGTTCTTTTTCAGTACAGAAGTTTTATAAAAGTACAAATGATATTTGACTATGCTAAATAGATATTTACCTATCTTTTTACCTTGGCGAAGGCCTTATTTTTACACTTAATTTGCTTACTTATAATTATTAAGTTCAAGAATATTTATTTAAAGGGGATGTAATTTTTATTCAATGTATATATAAATATTGAAAATGGTGTTATATTTTCATAATAAAACAAACCATTGGTAAACAGCATCCTATTTTTTTGTTCAACGATCCACAAGCAGTTAACGCTTAAAAAATAAATTAAGAAGCAATAGTAAAAATACTATATACCATATATGAAACACTCCAACATTTAATAGTGGTTAATATCAAATATTAATGTGAAAATTCATTTTCATTTACATTAATCCAATAGTAAAAAATTAATAACGGAGGTTATCTCAAAGTAATACTACACTCAAAAATTAGAAAAAAACTTGCTTTACTTTATTTTAACCTTATATTTACATCGATCTTGATCATTTTCCAACAATAATATCATTTTACAATAGTGACTGTCTTATTTACTTAACATATTAAACCTTATTCTTATTCCTATCGTATATCCTTAACATGTTATTAACTCTCCTATCCATGAGCGATCTACAATTCTACCCTTCTTTCTTTGCCCATACTGACACCTATTTTAACCTTAATCTATTATTTAATTTTTTTTAATATTACAAGTCTATTTCCTCACCCTTAAAACTTAATGTCTTACAATCCAACATTATCTCCTATTTCTTAAAGTCTGCTTTAAATCAGTCTGACTTCCACCCTCATTGATCAACTCAAAACATTCGTCCTACTTTCCAACATTCTTACATGCCCCTAATACATGTTTCAAGCTCTCTTTTACATATCCTACATCTTCTTTCTTCTTCCTTTTTCCAGTATGTATTCACATCCCTTATATTCGTTCCCTGTCCTAAATCTTGCTACTACATTTATCTCGCTCCCCTCTTTTAAATACCTTGGCACCCATTTTCCCAGCCAGTCCCTCCATTTAATTCCTTTCATACCCACCACATATCTAGATCTCTCTATTGTTTTTAAACTCTCTTCTCTTATTATTTTCTTGCATCTATTTCCCACTAATTTTCCAACTTTTTTTTTTCCTCCCTTTCTCTATCGTATCTACTTTTTATTCCTATTTCCATTACCTTCCTCCTCCATATTTCTTTCCTTATATCCCCTTCTTTTTCCTCATATGTATATTAAACAATTGTGCATTTAGCAGTTTGTATCCCTGCTTTACTCCTCAAATCGTCTAAAATTTTCCCCATCTTATACCATTCATCCTTACTACTACCACTGTTTCCCTGTATCTTTCCATTATTCTTTCTACTTAATTCCCTTCTAACCCCAATTCTATCTGATTGCACACATTTTGTATATTTCTACAGGCGTAAACAGTTGATAAAAGCAATTCAGGATCTCATGCCCTTGGATTGCGTGGTGACAAAACTTCAACCACTCGTAGATTTTTGCCTCTTAATGAAGTGTGAACCAACAAAATCTGTAAACCTTCCTACTCTACAGGAGATACAGTGGATTTGAACCTAGGTTTAGTAAGTGAGCTTAATCAAATGGAGGAAGAAAATCATACTGCTCTACTGTGGACATACAAAGTGAATGAATGCATTCTTTAAATTGGCGTACCTAAATGTTCGAGCTGCGTATTAATTATATTTATTTAATTATGCAAAGTAAAAGTAGTGCCGAAAAAAATACAAAACAAATCATGACGACATCTTCCGAACAAAAACTTCGTTTTTTGGAATACTATTGAAAATAATAGAAAAAACTTCTAAAGTTTAAACATGTTGGGTAAATTAAGAAACTAATTGTCATGTTCCACGAATGTATAATGCATAACATAACATTAATAAATTGGTACTGACTAAATCTGACTTGCAGTAAACGCATATTAAATTCACGCACCTCTACTGTTTCTCTTGAGACATTATGCGCTTAGGCATGGGTATCTTTGAAGGGTCGTATCTCCGTTACTAATTTGAATATTGGGGTGCGGTTTTAACCGTTACTCTTAGATTTTTGCACTAGTTTTTGAGGGGTGTGTAACACTTTAGCCCTGCAAAAATTGACAAATTTCGCGTAAAAGAAATGAAGAGGAGACGCCGTTGAGTAATATTATTAAAAACAAAATACAGAAAATTTAGAAAAAATGCTAGTAAATGTACTATTTAGCATAGACAATTGTGGAGGCTTTCGTGCTGTTCTTAAGTGTTAGACTTACGCGAATAGTACTATTTCGGCGTAATAATATTGTTTGTGTTGGCTATTAACTTTCTGTATTTTGCATATATATAACACTCCTATATGTTCAGATGGTATAGGAAGGTTGCTCTGCCATTATGGTATTTATTCTCTTTCTCCTCGGAGACAACTTGTCTATGCTATGTATGCTTGAGAAATCTTTAATACAACAACAGTATGCAGGTGTATCAGTACAAAAGATCGGGGGCTCGGAATATAGTGAAAACGAGATACTACCTGTTTCAGTTTGTCGGAACAGCTTCCTCTTAAAAAAAAAAAAACTTTTGGGTGTTTCATTCCCACCAGCCACTAATGCTGGTGGGCGGGCAGTCCCTCCGGACTACGCCGGAAGGTAGGGCGGAAGGCCCTCTTCAGCCTGCTTTCAGGAATCATGGGAATGGGGGGTGGTGGTTCGGGTGAGAAAGTTGAGACGGACGAAATGAAGACAGAAGAGAATGAAAGATTATGTGTGGAGTATTACTGCCTCGGCATTTGCCTAGGTGATCCAAGGAAACCACAGAAAAACTTGGACCAAGGCAGACGGACCCGGAATCGAACCGGCGTCCTCCCGAATGCTAAGCAATGG